TTCAATAGAAAGACCAAAATGACAAAAAAGGGGGTTAAAAGTAAGTATGAAAAGTTAATGCTGAAGCAGGAGTGTCGCTGGACACACACTTAGTGTATCAAAGAAACTGGAAATGTTTCTGCCACTCACCTCAAAATAATCACTAATTTTATGTCCCCTTGCACCTGCTTTGCCTAAAGGAGAGACAGGGAGTTCAGAGAGAGAGAGGCAGATATTTGGGATACGTGATGAGAGGATCATGAACATTTTTTTACCTTGGCTGCTGTCAAAATGGTCTGCTTTCCGTTTTCTTACTCTCTGGTCGTTTGCTTTTTTCTCAGGAGTCTGTCAGGAAAGTAGTGGGAATCAATCGCATGCACAATAGGGCAACACAGACAGATGGATGGTATGAAAAATCATGTTCATTTGTAACAGACACTAACCTCTAGCTCTTTGTCACTGAGCGAGCCTACACTGCAAAGACTCTGGTTGGACGACTCATTTTGGTTCTGACCCGAGCCCTGTTAAAATGACATAAAAACACATCAAAAATAAAACACGAGGAGCAAATACACAAAGATGCTTAAAGCATGCAAGAGACATATTCATAGACGTGTATAGTCAAAATGTGTGCACATGAGTGGTGTAACGGACCGTGATCCGTACAGATCACCCCTCGTGATTCGGCACACAGGTGAACCGCTGATTAATTACACAATTTAAGCTTCATAGTGTGTAATAAAGTTTTACTGATGATCATTATCGTGCAATATTCAGTAAAAATATGCGATCAGGACATCTGCGTTTATGTTTTCTATTTGCCGATCCTTGGTAATGTCACACTGTGAACAACAAATCTGAGTTAATTTGACAAGATGAGAGCTATTAACGGTGGCCATTAGATTATGATGCATTCAACCTCTATTCAGTGAAACAATTATTGGGTGAATGTAAAAATGTATAGTTTACCATGATGTATTCGAATGTAATCTTGTAAAATGCAGTTTTGTTGAGAACCTTGAATAAATCTAGTTGTTTGAAGGAGATGTTTTCACAGCAACATATAATAAATGTTAGAGAATTATGACATGTTTAACTTCCTAACACTACCTCTAAGCAGCTTATAATACATCATTATAACTATTTTTTATGAATAAAAATACAATCTTATTTACTAATCATTTGAATTGTGTTTTTTTTATGCACTATAGATGACAATAACAAAGAAAAAAGGATAACATTTAGAATTCTTGATGGTTTACACTGACTTCAGAATGATTTAAAAGGTTTTTGGGGTGGTGGCGAAAAAAAAAAAAAAAAAAAAGTAGGAGCCTTGTAGACCAGCTGCTATAAAAAAAACAAAACAACAAAAACGATGTGTATCTGCCAATATGGACTATCAAGGATCGGCAATCGAGGCCATCTAAAAAGTTACATTTGCTCCCTTTTATTCTGTGCTGATCTGATCCGTGATCCCCATCTCTGATCCGTGATACAATCCAAATCGTGAGCTTTATGATCTGTTGCACACCTAGTGCACACATGTACTTGAGTATGCATGCACTTCTGAGAGAAAGAGCGCACACACAGAGTTAGGAAAAGGGGTGAGGAACTGAGGGAAGGGATGCCGAGGTTCGGCTGAATACCGTCACCATTAACTTCCCACTGGATCTAAACCTGCATCAGTCCTAATGCCGGTTCCCTAGGTGGTGCCTGTCAGTCAAATGAATCACATCAAAATTCAGCAGGCACTGTCCAATCAGAGAGACACTTAGTCATTCAGAGCACACTACAGCTCCCTCACTGAACCCTCCTAAAATGGCTGAACATTAGGCATGCTGCTGGGGATGTATTCCTTCCTCTGTCTGTCACCTTTAGATAATGTCATCCATTTTCCTCCTCTTCACCATGGTCTTAACTGTTCTTTTCTCTGAGCAGAGCCAGAGGAAGATACTTTGGTTGATTTAAGAATGACAGCTTGTTTTTACCTCTTCCAGATATCTGGTTGTTTGATCCGACCTGTTCAAAAGGAAATGCACTTTCCAACAATTTCAGTAGGTCCTCTCTGTTCCATTACCAAAAGGTGTGCTAGCCCTTTGTCCTCAAAGGATAACAATTCCTCTTTCTTTTTGACCAACTCCCAACAACCAAGAGATAACAGAGAGAGCAGCGTTGCCACAGGGCTGTTCAAGGTCAAGAATAAAAACTATGCTGCTCTGTGACATTGAAGGGCTTTTAGACCATTAACCAATGTTTCTTCATCGCCATTTGTTGACACAGATCTACCACCCCCTACACACATTGCATCTCTTGTCATACAGGGTGGCTGTGGCATGATGCCTTAGCGAGAGCCGCCATTTTCTCTGCGGCAGCAGCCATGCCATGCTCTGGGCTCAGCTCTGCCTATGGCTGGCACAGGGCCCACTCCTGGCGCTGACTCTCGCTCCCTAACTGTTCCAAGATCACCTTCCACAAAGACTGCTCCATCCATATAGCAAGCAAGAGGATGGAAAGCGAAATGCTGCCTTCTTCAACACCTGGTCAAGAACTATTTCTGCATTCCTCCTCTGCCTGCACTCCTCCTCCCCCCTACCACCCCCTGTCCTGTATGTGGCCTTTTTGGCAGGCATCACCACTTGCATATGCAGCCTCTACATCATGAGCCAGGGAGAGATGCCATGTCACACCAGCCAAAAAACACAGACACAGCTCAACCTTCTCCAGAGACAGACAAAGAAAAGGAGTGGGGCCAAGCCTGTCCAGGCCACACAGCAGAATGATACTGAGGCGGAGTGAGACAAAGAAAAAGAAGTGATTTACAAAAATGTGTAAATCAACAAAATCTGTGATTATAAGCACTTTGACAGGAGAAAGTTCTCATGCTACACCTCAGCGACACCTGCTGTAAAACAAACCTTAGCCACGCCGACCCCAGTAAAGCGAGCCTCCAACAGCTCTTGCCGTCGGGGGTCCAGGCTATGCAGTTCTTCCATCATGGCTGCAGAGAGACAAGAGCAAAGATTAAGGAAGGCGTTGTGAGGTCTGGTATATTCAAGTGGGAGTGACAAATCACTGTTTCAAAAGGCATTGGTTGTGATGAGTCATGGCTGTTTTTAGCTATATGGATGTGGAAAATTCCTGTTCTGAGTCATCAATAAGCCTGACAATAATGTTTTCCACTATCACGTGTGTTGCACCAGCCATGCAACTTGAATACAGTAGAATACTCACAGCATTAAAATGCACACAAATACAGCCAATAAAGGATATCAAATATGCATCATACACTTGGGCCAGATGTGTAGTCACTGCCTGCCAAAGGAAAGCATCATGTAATAACACCTTGGCATTATAGGCCTTAGTTACATATCGCTGGAGTTATAAAAGGTCACTAATGGAGGGACTGCCAAGTATACTCACGGCAAGGGAAAAGGCCACAACAGACAATAAGTGCCCAGCTTGCTACCCTGTGCAAAGGTTAACGTTTAAGTTACACGCCCAACTGCTACGTTTGTTATCTATAGCTTGCATACATTCAATTAATAGTGTAAACTACACCATTCGTGTTAATTTAGGGATATATATACTAACGTTAACCCTATTCATATTCTAACTTTACTTGGGATTGGGTTTGCTGGCTCAGTTATGGATAACTATTTGAAATATCATGATCAGCGTGGTAGCTAGCTAACATGGATACATTAGCTAGCAAGCCTCCCGATGTTGTCCGTCACTTAGCTAGCATTGCGCTATAAGGGCTAACCGTTAACGTTAGCTAGTAGCATTAAATCTGATGTTGTCGAGTAACGTAACGTTACCCAAAGAAGGCAAATGTAATTAATGTTGGCCCAATGACAGCTGTCTGATTAGATAACGATTCAGAAAAAAACACATCACAAGTACTGTCCGCAACAGTACATTGTTTTACAAACAGTGAACTAGCGTTGGCAGCCAAAAAAGAAGCATCCTCTCGGTTCTGTGTTGACGGCTGCTGGTGCCACGACACCTGGACTCACTGTAAAAAGATACATGTCCAGATATATTATTTTGCTCGACAACCTAATGAGATACTTACTGCTATTCAATATTTTTCTCGGTCCTCCGGGGGCCTGTTGTTAACCCTGAAACCGTCCCCGTTGTTTCCCCGATGCTCGGCAGACCCTCCCAGAGTAGGCCGCATTCACAGCCGCGTCCCTCGCGTGCCGACTGTTAACGGTCGAGACACTGGAGTGTGCGGTGTGACTCAAGGTAGACGACGGTAGATTCCCTCGGAGGCCTCGACAACTCCGGGAACCCAAGCCCGCCTTGCTGTGCTCCTTACGCAGGGATATCCATCACATCCCTCTCGCCGAGGACCATACCGTGCCTATGTCGGGTAACTCGTTCCACACAATGGCGACCCTCGAGATTTCAGAGTTTTTCACCAGGTATAGCTAAATGATGTTTTTAAACTAGCGTTAGTTACCCATATCTTTTTCTCCCCCAGTGGTGAGATCAATTTGGGGTCCTGGCTTTCAGCTCGATCAAAACAAAGTTCGGCTCCAGTTGCCTTCCTCGCCGCAGGGAAGAAACCAATGTCTTTCGGAAGTTGTGCTGTTGCAGGCGTTTCAGCTGAATCCGGATCGATTCGGTTCGGTTCTCATGTTTCCACAATGTAAACAATAATCAGGAAAATCTCATATTTTCCCGTGAGATCGTTCAAGTATTTTCACCTTAGTTCAGTCCACGCCTGCCCCAAATCTCTTGTCTGGACCAATGGCAAATCCCTCTGTACACAATACAATTGAACAGCGCCCACCCAGGCAACCACTAAGATGGTCACTTATCAGAAAGTTGCCATTCCCATGATGTTCACACTCTGAATTTATATATCAGTATTACAAAGTAAGGCCCCACCCACCACTGAAGTAGCCATTTAATCATAAATAGGGATTCAACCATTCAAAACACTGTGATGGAAAGTAGAATAGGGACCAACATCATGACGTGATTCCTTTGTTAAACAAAACACTTGTTTAACAAAGCATATTGACACCGAAGTCAAACAGATTTACAGGTTTTATTGATTCTGCATGTACAAATATGTCATGAAGTTATCCTTAAAATCATGCCATTTATTTCAAACACCAGCTCATTAAAAACAGCATTTGGCAGAATAGAAACATTTAAACAGGGGGTAACCAGCCCCTTTCTCAGATTACTGAACTCATCAGCACAAAATGAGAAATGATCACTCTTGTAAGTAGAATTGCAGCACCATCAGGAACACTAAGCCATAAAACAAGTCCATCAACATTATGGCAGCTGAGATATTGTAAGGTATTTACAGCATTTAACTATCTAGTTGCATCCCCTTTATCACATTCACAACAGAGCTTCTCAATTCCATACATCCACAGAAAAAGGCCAGCACCGCCTTGATCTGAGCTCCTAGTTTCAGTTGTAGTTCAGCTTAAGGTCAAGCCAGGCGGGTCCTCTCCCTTGTCTTGGTCCTGGGTCTCAAGTGGCTGAGCTAGAGCCTTGCGGTACTTGCACTGGATCCACACTCTATACATAGTGAGCTGTTTGCCTCTGTTCACCTGTAGCCGTCTGTCCACAAGGTTCTGCATTTTCTCAAGCCCAGCCTCACTGAACATCTCATGTAGCTCATCTGAAACAGAAAGGACAGACATATTTTCATATACATAATTAAAGAACAATTCTGCAAAGTAAGCCCAATAAATCAGAATTAATGTCTGTATTTTTACCTTGAGTAAAGAAATACACTCTTGTTCCATCACCTCGGACATAAAAGTTTTCTGACAGACACCTTCCTGGAAGAAGTAAAGGGAAACAACATACAAATTATTCTACAACAAATTGCAAACCTTAATTTAACACCGACAGTCTTCATTAGTGTGGTGGCGTTTTAATCTGCAGTGTACCATTAGAAGTACTGCAGGTATTGAGCAGCCAGACTTACTCTTACCATCTACCTTAAGTGTGGTCCATCATTTTCTTTAATATAATTAGAAGGAGCATACTTGTCATTTAAAACACAGAAAGTTACTCTGGTGTGACCTAAGGCAGCAGTCAATTCTGAAATGGTGCCACCAGAAAAAAACAGACCTAAGTAGGCCAACACCTTTTCAAGGATAAACACTAATAATAGGCCATGATCAATGGACCTTTCTGGAACTGGACGTTCTGAACAGCTATTTGGACTGGAGCCTTGCTGGATTTTAGTCTGACGAACCTTTCTTGAAGCGAAGCTGTGCCAAATCGTAGCGTCCATAGTCTCTGAGCAGCATCACTCCCCCAGGCTTCAGCAGCCGCGCCAATCTACTGATGGAGGCCTGCATCCTGAGACAGAGTGAAACTTTAAGACAACCACTGCTATATTCAATGACTCACACCGAGTGAACACCAAAGAGACGAGAAGAAGAAAGACAGAGAAAGAAGTTCATACTTGTTGGGATGCAACGCCGATAACACAAAGATTAGCACTATAACATCAAGGGTTCCATCGGGGACGGGAAAATTGGCTTCCACATCACTCAAGTCATGAACAAAGGCGAAGCAGCGCCCAGGCTCGTACTCTGGATTAGCCTGAAGAAGGGAAAGCAATGTTAAGTCTTCAGATAACCCATAACCCAACAGATTAATACATCTATCAACATATCATCCTTTCATTGATCCCATCTCACCTTGACTAGCTCCACAGCAGTGCTGGAGAAATCACAGCAGTAAACAAAGAGTCCCGGGTCACTGCAAAGAGCAGAGATGCAGTTATACCTTTACGTGCACATAAGACAGAAGCAGAGAACAGTATTTGTCAAACACGGCTCGAAAAGACATGTCAATGCCTTGACTGCACTCACTTGTTTGTCTTCAGTATTGGAAAAACAGTATTGCCTACACCGCAGCCGACCTGCCCAATAAACATCAATTAATATAGCGTTTATTTTGTTCACTCGATGTCAAACACCAACAGATACAGTAGCAAAGTTTGTTTCTGACAAAATAAAGATTGATAAAATGACTAGAAAAGGCATTTTTCCAAGGTTTCAAAAATATATTTGAATAGAAAATGTTTTAAAGTGTTTAAATTGGCAAAATGATAAGGACTACCACAATGTGATCCATGCGAGTTCAGTAGAAAAGGAGGAGAGTGCTCTCCAAACATTATGCACAACACAAAACAAACACATCCAATGTGTGTTGCAGTCAAACATTTGACTTTTTGCTCTTTAGTAAACGGGTAAAGATGATGTATTGAGTAAGACCCATCACTTTTCTACTACAAATGTTTTATATGCATCTGAAACTAGACAATCATGGGACATGTGTCTGATTTTTTTAAATTAATTTAATTAGCGATTTTAAGCAATTCTTTATCAAATTTACGTGAAATTTCATGTCATTTTATGTGTATGGTTCAAGTTTGGCTAATTTGCTTTCAAATTAAACTCTCACCTCTAGAATGCGATATGTGGCAGAAGAGCCAGGGATGTCTCCGTCGGTGTGAGACAAAGTTGGAACTCCCCTTTCTTGATCCAGACTCTCCTGTTGACTGTGATCGGAGTCAGAGACCTCGAGACGCGACTCGTGGTTAAGGCTACACTGGGGGGCCAACTCTGGGAACTCTGTGAACAGCCAGTGACGGTCTTTGAAGAAACGATTCTCATGGATTGTGTAAAAACCATTCCAAAACTCATTTGCCCGGCTGTCATATTCCTCTGCAAAAAAAAAAAAAAGGTAAGGCAGTAAAGAGTAAGAATAAACTCATTATCGAGAACATCTTACCATGATTACAAATCAACAGCGATACTGTCAATTTCTGTTAATGTTGCTATAGTTCTGTAACTGATCCCAAACAACATTGTTACCTTGTTTCTCTGGAGGTAGTGGCTGATTGTTTTCTAAGACTTTCTTCTTAGCAGATGCCTCTTGTTCCTCACTCCACTCCACATTGTCCCTGCAGACAACAGAGCCATATTATCCAGTGTGGTTGAAGTGATGTGGTGAATAACATAAATACTTGACAATACTGAAATACTGATGTGATCATCTGGTCATCCACATATGATTACTGCAATTAAATGATATAATTACTAAATGACCAGTTAACGTTATATGATTATACTATACTATATAACCTGAGAAAAGATTATATTTTCCTATAAACCGGCCGAAATACATCATGAACATTGCATGACAACATTAAGACCTGTCCTTTGGTAACCCCCAATCAAAACAAACAGAAAGTTACAGCAACTAAACAACAGCTTTTACATTTGCTTATAGTTAGACACAATCAATTCAGCAAAAACATCCACACAGCTAATGTACTACAAATAACAAGAGAAAGTTTAAGGCCTCAGTCGGGGGACACTGGCTCTAACAGAGATGCACACCAAACATCTTTCTTGAATAAATTACCCACCATGCGTTGTGCTGGAAGACCTGCCGCGGGTCTGTGAGGAAACGTGTCCCGAACAGAGGCCTCTTCACATCTCCGGTGCTTGAATCTGACAGAATCAGTGGTGTTTGACTGCTGCCTTCCTCCACACCGACCACGGCATGGGGCGCCGCCATGTTTGAACTGACGCGACGGAAAAGGGGCCGCGCAACTATACGTGCTACGTTCAGGGACCATCTGACATATTGTAATTCCAATAAATAATACAAATGCAACTCAATGTGCCGACATTTTCTCAGTTGCAACCATTGACCGGTGTTGCAACGCAGTTTTTAGAAGGCGGGGATTGTAGTTCTGTAATTATGTTGCTTTTTGGCTCTAAATATTTACTATTAGCATGTTCCCACTTTGTAAAACTGGTCACACATACAAGTCGAGGCACATTTTGTCTGCAAAGTAACAGGCAATAAACTGTAGTTCCCTCTCACTTGCTGAAGAACGGGCTGCATCATCATATTAGCGATGTTATACGGAGCACGTGAAAGACACGCTTCTGTATATCCCTTCTTATATTCAGTTAGTATATCCAGATAGGCCTATCGATGGACGATCACTCAACTGATAAATCACAGCCAGTCAGACTATCATCCAGCTCTGGACACTGTCCTACTGGCTGCTTCTCAGTACTTTCATACTGCACATTCTTTCTGTGTTTCTGTGTGCCGCAGCATTTGATCAGTGCAGTGATTATACACTAGAGGGAGACATATGCCAGGAATATCGTTGCTATGTTCCACTGGTGTCAGTCTGACCCACATGAATGTGGAGAATTCCTATACTGAGGTTTCAGTGGTCAACAATTAACTTGTGTGTATATTAGTTTCAACCAGTCCTAACAGACAAACTGACAAACAGCAGTTCCTCACGTGTAATTTGTTAAACATTAAAATTTACATTTAAACTGGTAATTTTTACATTTGTGGATTGATTTTTGAGTTTGACCTCTTGTATATATCGGTTTTCACAAATACACAGGTTCCACGCCATTTTCTCATACTCCGGAAGTCTTCGTACAGAGCCTACAACTACTACGTATTCATAACTTTATATACTTAGCGTGGAGTAGAGATTTATTGATAAATACTTTGAAAGTGTGACTTCCAAAATGCATAGTGTTCATGGCAATGACTTCAATGTTTATCTTCAGTGAAAGGAAATTAGACTATTCTAAATTCTTCTGCACACATATCTAATTATTGCATTTTCATGCACTGCAAGAGCAACCCTAAAATTGTATTTGCTACATTTAAAACACTGGTTAGTTAGTTGTTGTGTTGAGTCAGGAGGTAGTCAACATCTGGACTGAGCTATTAGATTGACAAAGAACCCCGTACTGCAGCCAGACACGCTCATCATTTAGAAAAAATATGTACTGTAAAACAGTAGAGATGCTACATGCCAATGACCAAACAAGTTAGATTACAGTATGAACAGTAATCTACACATATGGTAATGTCCACAACAAAGTATACACGTTTAGAAAATACTAGTAAGTGCATATTTAGTGTACAGGTAACCAGCTAAGAGGGAACACATTCTATTGTTTTATTTGTAACTTAATTTCAGCTATAAGAGAAAATAATAGACAATTGTGATAAATGTACGCTTTTATTTCCAAGGGTAACTAAAGTACCAATGAACAGTGTAAAACATAACTGGATTCAGCACACATTGAGTGGACTCATCGGGCTGGTGTGAACAGGATAGGGTAACAAAGATATGTTGTGGGATGTGAGGGGAAGTGCAAAGTTTTATCAGCAGAGCAGGGCACAACAACAGACAAGGGAAATACCAATTTGACATCATTGGCAATGCAACAGGAAGTATTCTATGACTTGATACGGTTAAGTAGATAAGTTGTGACCGGATGTGGTCAAAGGAAATTTTCGCTTCTGCACACCGACACTAGTTTTAACATCATAGTAAAACTGTCTGAATTGAATGTAAATGCAAAATGTGCACATGTACACAGCACACGATTTAGCATTTGCATTAACCCATACTAGTATTTGGAAAAAGTGGGAAGGTACTATACAGCGCCCGCAGAGCATTTTGGGGGTCGAGTGCCTTGCTCAAGGGCAACTCGGTAATGCCCAGGAGGCAAACTGGCACCCTTGTTTGTGCCTGAGTGAAACTGGGAGGCAATTTTTCTATTTCTGAATTTTTAGACAACTTTTTGATCTGAAATATGAACTTCAAGTAACTTTTGTAATGTACATCTGATCCTAATAAAGGCTAAAAGTAGCTTTGACATTTGTTAAAGAAACCCAAATATCAAGCATCACACAAACATTGTCAAAGTCAAGTATAATTAATATTTATACATTTCCTCTGTGTAACAATCTGGAGTTAAACTCCACCCTGCATTTTAAAAAATGGTGGAAAAAAAAAAATACAGACATATGCAATGAGCTTACAGGCCATGTCCTAAGAGAGGATCAGAGCTGTACAACCAAAATACTCCTCTTTTCTCCCAAATGGAGGTTACAAAAGAGCAACAGTAAGTTTGTTTGTTACCAACAATTACAAAGCAGCATGGCAAATATCATTTGATGTGCAATAAAATCAGCTTATATACACAAATTAACTGCATAGCATTTCAGAGTAACACAGTGCTGATCACCATCGAATTTAACAAATAAAACAAACAACAAAAAAGCCCAACAAACGCAAAAACAGTTAATGGTGCAGGGATAAAAACAAAACACACATGTCAAAGCATTTATTAACTTACCATCACTGACATGCATTTAAAAAACAATATACACCACAAAGATCACCGTAAGCTAAGTCAGCCTCGAGGCTGTAGATAAGTGGATTTACTCCTTTTTACAGTTAACCGATACTCCGCAGTGCTGCATTGTTGTCAAAATGAATACTACAAGCTTTATTGTTTATTAGAAAAAAGGGAATTGGTCATATAGCCTACATGAAAACCCTAGAAGCTTGTTTTAATAATTTATCAAAATACTATAGTACATATTTTCTGTTTACTTATAAAATTTCCTGTGGTTCGTTTGGAACTGCCCTTTCCTTTTATACTTAAATATTTTATTACGGGGTTTGTTTTTTTTCAGCAAAGAAAAACAAATCCCAAACAAATAAAATGGAATTGCCCTTTTCAATTGAGAGAAAAGTGAACTTAAAAAAAGCTGCACTCTATTTTCTATACGGACTCATTACTATTAGGTCATGATGATTTCTATTTTAATGTGAGCCACACTACAAATGCTGTTTTTGTTAATGAACTCCTATCAGCATGTACAGTACCAAAACTGCATGACATAGTGTAAAAACAAAGTCTAATAGCAGGCAACTGCCTGAATTACATTAACAGTTTTAGTTATTTTTACTGTATGTGCAATCATTACACCATGTTGTTGACAGCATTAACTAGTTTTCAGCTACAGTGTAGGATCTTCTTCCCACCCATTGCTCTACTACATTCCATCTCTGTCGTTGACCCCTGAGTTGTTCCTCATTGCATTTAGTCGTTAGTTGCCTCGGTACGCGACATTGGTGAAGGTAGAGGTGGCTCCCTTGTATAAGGGATTGTTAGCCTGGGAAATGAAAACAGAGGTAATGCTGTTCAATTCAGTGCCACACCATACTTTTGTTACAGTAGCAGTACTCCATTGATCCCTGAATAAGAAGCAGTTAGCGTTTTAATTAGAAAAAAGGGTTCGAAGAACAAATAATTCTCACCGTATCCCATTTGGCTTTGGCTCTCTCCTCCTCAAACTTGGCGAAGTCTCTGCGGTCATGGATGCTGACTAGCAGCTTCCAGATGAGCAGTCCAATGAGGCCCAGTAGCAGAATGGCTCCGGTCACAGCCAAGAGCACCACCAAAATGTCTGGACCCTGAGGACACTCTGAGAGACGAGAGACAGGAAGGGAGAAAAAGAGCTAATTTCCTCCTGGTTTCCAGGACGTTTGTTAAGCAGGGGAGGTCACTCATGGAGTTTAGCAACAACTGCAGTCCAGTATCAAACACACTATAACACAATGATTTCGTCCATAATCACCATGAGTCTGGGTTTCTGTGGTGTGGCAGAGTGTAGCTGTGATTATATAGCTGATGATGTATTTTCCTTTAGAAAATTACTGATTTCTGCTGCACACACTGTTCCCCCTTTTTCTGTAGTCGGCCACACACAGGCTTAAATGGCATTCAAGAACACACTCTTCTGTCCTAATAGAAGACCTAAATTATAATGCTCAGTTCTCTTGATGGTTTATGTGTCTCATACATGAACACACACTCTTACAGTACCTGGCTCTTTGACCACATACAGAATGGATTTTCCATTTTCATCTTCGTAATACTGGAAGTGCTCAATGCAGTCATCCTCATCTTTGTATGAGCAATTCACCGCATTTTTATTTCTATCATTATCATGGAAACCTGCAGGAGAAAGATGATAAGAAGACACAGGGTGATACATTGTTTAACAAGGGATTAATTAGTCTGTTATATCTTTTGACTACCTTGCATGTTTGAAGCCTTCAAATACTTTCACTGGCATTTTGCTCGAGATTAGCAGCAGGAAAACAGCAGTACGCATTAGCACAACAGGTTAAGATCACAGTATGCAGTAAAGAGTTCTCACCTAGTTCATCCACTACTTCAATTTGATTTTTGCAGATTTTATTGCAGCTGTTGTCTTCGGTGTACTGTCCTCTCTCGAAGTGTTGACACTCAACACACTCCCTGCAAGTAGAGTCCCATTTGGTTACCTTTATAGAATGCACAGTGTGCATACTATTGATGCTCTTTAGTAGCAGTGCATGGTTCAATTTGATTTAAGGTTGATGGACAAACAACAAAGCATAAGAGCGTCTAAGAGTAAAGCTATATCAAGATAAATCTGGGAAGTGTTAACATCTGCCGACTGTCTGGCCGTGAGAGGAGTTTGACCTTTTTCTGCTGCTCACGAAGCCACACCTGAGTTTGTTAAAAATGTGTGTGGGAGAAGTTTGTTATCAGCCTGGAATGTGGGAATATCATGATGAAACGATGTTGCACTGCAGAGTGCAACCAGCCAACTTAGTTGGTTAGTTAGTCTCAAATTCTTTGCTGAAGATTTTCCCTTTGCTTGTGGCAAAGTAGTGGTAGTTTCAGTTATTTTCTATGAAATTTGGTACACATATTAATGGTCTAGAAGATGACTTCTAATATTTTTGGTGACCTCTTGACCTTTTTAGATCAAAATCTTTCCTTGACCAACATGTCAAGGTATGGTATTTTTTAAACCAGAATTTCCATAAATGTATATCTGTGGCTATTCATGGTTCCATGATAAATCCTATTGGTTTTGATGACCAGCTCTCTGGTTCTTTTAGTGCCACTACAAGGCCAAACATTTCACTTGTAAACCACAAAAAACAGGGAAATCTAGTGGAGTTACTATACATATTCTTGGTCCCCAGGGGATGAACCCTTTCCATTTTGGACACTCCATGATATTCTTCTTGAACCACCCTCAGGTCAAAATGTTTATGATATCTCATCTTCATGGTAGACTGCATGTCTGCTGAGCACATTCATGCTCCCAGGGAAATAAACCCCATAACCTTTCCTCTAGTGGCAACCAGAAATGGCAAAAAATGGCTTTAAAATGTTTGTGCTGTCTAATACATGAACGTTAAAACATCTAGGAGGTTCACTCTGTGTAATAAGAATGAGTTACTTCAAAAGTTACAGTCTGTTTTAATGTGTTTTTGTCCATTCCCTCATCTCTATCGTTTGTTAAAACATTAATAAATATGATTACTTTTTTATAGTGCAGGAATCAGGACAAGTGGGGCATTTGTCACAGGTATCTCCGTAGGCACCGGGCTGAGTGCATTGACAAACCCCACACTGGCAGTTACCCCGGCCGCTGCACAGCAGGCCAATGCTGGACATGCAGGTGTCTATGCGTGTGCTGCAGTTACAGTTTTCTCCTTTCCAGCCAGCGTCGCACTGACAGAGGCCACAGCTACACTTACCATGATCTGAAAGATACAAAAAAGACGAGGTTAATGCCATTATAGTCCTTTTAAAGTACTTTTCTTTCAATTCAAATCAAATTTTTATTCAATTCAAATATTACCTCTTATTGCATATTAATTCAAATATGTTTTTCAGTGACCGTAATCACATGGGTGTGGCAGGGCAAACAAAACTGCGAAATAAAAATGACGCAATTGCAAACTGATTCACTATATGTGTGTGTGTGTTTTATAGGTCTATTATGTCTGTGCATTTTCCTTTGTTGCCTATTAACCTGTGAGTTTTTAAAGCATGTTGCAAGCTTGGGCACGTGTACCTGTGGAGGTGTTTGTAGATTCTGCAACAACGTAATTACTATTGTAATGCGTTACTAATGTGTTATTTTTGTTACTTTCTAAAATAAGAATGTTGCTAATGGTTGTTTAAGTGGTTTATTTAAAAAAATACTTATTTTAAAACAATCAACAGCAGTAGCCAAAAAAAAAAATGTAATTTTAATTACGATAACAAGTAAGCTTTGTGTACAGCCCTGTTTGTCTTGCGTAATCTATATCTTCTCTTTAAAACAATGCTAAGCAACAAAATAACTTGGAAACGAATTGTTCGAAAATGTAATTTTACTCAGCAAGGGACATGACACATTTCTCTTAATCATCCCAATACTGACAAAGGCAGGTTATGTTCTCTTTTGATTGAACATACTAATAAATCCCCGTCTCCTTACAGGCAGGAACACACACACACTAGTGCTTCCTCTGACTCTACTGAAGTGAAGAATGGACAAAAGCCAAGTCATTAGGGGAACAGTGTTACAGTGATGCAACCATTTGCTGACAGAATCTGGAGATGAGCTTTTCTCCCTGGATTACAGAGAGATTAAGCAAAATTAGAAACAAAGGCAGAGCCCAGGAGACTATAGTGTTCTTTGCAGGAAAGCAAACAGGATTTGGCACTGAATGACTAAGAGCAAAGTGGGTGAGTCACAGCCCAGCTGGATCAGACTGGGGGAGTAACTGGTCTTGAAATATCACAAAGGGTCCAAGGGTCCCTAATTCCAGAGCTCAAAACAAATCATCCGCCGTTGAAAAACTCCAGACTACAATTCCCCAGTCTACGCCCTGCCAACTACGGCTCCTCTTTTAGATTGTGTTTGTAGCTGTGATGGGATCAGACGTGGTCACCGGTTAATGGTTAACAGTCTCACATTTAATGCTTAGCAAAGCAACCGTTGAGTAATCTCTCTTACTCTGTCAACACGATAACTGCACACAACTGTTGAATAACTGAACTAAATCTGATATTTGTTGTCAAAAACATTGCAAAACTACATTGCCATTGTAACTATGGATATCTTTTGAAGTGTAGAGCACTTCAACTTGACAAGAGTGCATAGCTGTGTTGTTCTCATTAGTTAAAGTTGATTCACACACACATAAAAGGGAGTTTTTAGGTTCACATCATCCTACTCTCTCCGTGAGACTGCACAGTAATCCTGCCCATTAATCACATGCCTGGGCTTTAGTGAAGGTTAACATGGGGGCCACGATGAAGGGACAAGAACAGGGATAAAGTAAAACTACACATTACACTGTTGGAAGAAGAGAGGGAACACAATCAAGTGCTGTGGAGATAGACATATACTGGAGAGAAAGAGGTTGGGCAAATTGCCAGCAGAGGAATGCAAACTCTCCTGTTCTCTCTTCCCTCAAATTTATGGGCCCTGGGGCTGTGCTTGCTGACTCCTGTGCCCAGGCCCTGCACCGGTCCCACAGCCCCTCAGCAGACGAAGAAATACTCACGCCACAGTGAATACCACAGAGATGGAGCTTTTCAGTGCCCCAGTTTTGATTAGCTCCAATTGAGCTGGGGCTGAGGGATGCTCGCTCTTTAAGGACAACAGCAGCATGACGCTACTGAGACAACAACTTTGCGGCCCCAAATTGAGCTCAGTGGACTGTCTTACACCAGCTTTGTGTGTGTAAGTCTGTGGGTGCGGGCAAGTTGGGTGACTGTCTGCGCCCAAGCCCTGTGTGTCATCATTGAATACCTTAATACCTGTTCCTCAGAAAAACAACCTACCTTGAGCAAGACTCCTCCTTGTTGATGTCAATATGTCATATTCCAGGAAATATTCCTTGCTTGCCAACACACATATGAGCTGGCATTTTCTCCTTAGGCCATGGTGCACACACAAGGGGCCCAGAGTATGTTTAGTTTAGGAGGTTGAAACTAAAACCTGATATACTATAAGGTCATGACGAGTATATATACATCATTTGAGATTTTAATGTTTTTTTTCTGTTTTATTTATGGATGGACAGATGGACAGATAACCTGAAAACACAATGCCTCCAAGCCACGGCTGTCGCCGGCTTCGCAAGTCTGCACTGTCGCTGTGCAGACTTGTAATAGGGAGTGATAGCACAGCATGAGGCACTGCTGTGAGTGGTGAGTAGGAGGATTAGACATTTGTAAGCATTACTGTTTATGCTTGGCAGCTAAATTATGCAATTATTTACATGTCCTTTACAAGCAAACAAAGACTGTAATAATAATTGCACATGAGTTTGGAAAAAGGCTGTGGATTTCTGATTTGTGAAGCTAAGTATCAGAAAACTATGTAAACTGACCAAGGTGTGTTTACAGACTGAGATTGACTGAAAACAGTGTGTTCCAGTAAGGTCACACTGGGCCTCAGAGCAGGAAAAGGAAGGGAAGGGCAATACGTTTGTTTCAAGAAGTAAGAGAACATTTTTATGTTTTCCAGATAATTTACTTGCATGTATGTTTTCTGTCTGTGTGTTTATACAGTGAGTAGGCCTACTGAGTACAGGTGTAGTGAGGGAGAGTGAGATTGTCTGACCCTAGGGAGGATTGGTGTGCTGTAGACACAAGTTGGTCTTGTTTTTAATCATGTGTTTTGTGTCACATCACTTTCAGATCCAGTAAGTGCTTCCTCTGTTTTTGTTTAAAGCAAAATGCCATATTGGTGTTGGCAAAACTGCAAAGAGTACTAACACTGATTAAAAAAAAAGTAAAAAGAAAAGGATATCTACTCACCAGAGCACAGTGCCCCTTTGAAGTGCAAGCAGTTGAAGTTGTCACATTCGCAGAACCTGCCCCAAACCTGACCGAACTCATTTGCATGGCAGGAGCACTGTCCGCACAAACAGTCCCCTCTCCCGCTGCAGATTGGGTTCCCTGGCTTCGGGATGCAGTTGACATCATCAGATGGACTGTAGTCCTCCACCGAGCACTCGCATCTTGGGCCCAGACGACCTTGGTGACACTGACACACACCACACTCGTAGGTCCCGTTGCCATTGCTACAGACGGGGCTGTCGGCTATGGCGTTCGCCTCACAGTCGCAGCCGCAGGCAAAGTCCACAGTGACCTCCAAGGAATCCTTGAAGCCTCGCGGTTTGATGGTAAAAGCCTGGCTCTTCTCTTTGGGGCAGCTACGCAACTGAACCTCCACAGTGAATGACACCTAAAGAGGAGGAAAGGTCTCTGTGAGAATTTTTACATGTAGATACAAGATGTGCATGTCAGCATCTCAACAGATACGTACTGTGTCTCCACTCTTGAGGCCAGTGCACGACTTGAGTCCAGGGATGACCTCTCCATTCAGGCAAGTGGCATTGAAGGAGAGATTCAACTCTTCTGGGACTCCCAGTAGCTCCAACTCCACTTTAGAGCGGATTTTCTGATCAACACAAAGTTATGGAGTTAAACAGTTACATTTATAGTAGTATCATATTTGTCATTAAATAGATTACATGACTTTTTGATTTTTCCCTTATTGTCATAATTTTTGGAAGTCCTTACAGCATAAGCATCCACAATGAGGTTAACAACATTCCCAGAATCATCGGTCAGTTCTCCCACAGTTGTTCCTGCAATGAGCTGACTGTAATCCTGGGGAAGACAGGCATAACAGCAAGGTGATGACCCAGTTTTTGTGTTTTTAATACCAATAACATAAAACAAATTCATGCTGTGTGACACAAGCAGTGCAGTTTGTTTACCTTGTAAAGTGGCACCACATGCTTGGTCACGGCAAAAATTAAATTGATGTTGTTTTCAGACATTTTCTCTGCCATGAGTGCCAGGGAGGGATAATCCTGGAAGACACAGGGAACAAATAGTCTTCAATGGAGGCAGGTTCTGTCCAACAACTCCACAAACTATTAAAAACCAAAGTGAATTACTGATGTACTTAAAATTCCTGCCTTTACCAGCACAGTGGATTTGTTGTAAACGTTCTCATTATCAAGGTGACACTCTCCATCATTGGGCTGGACAATTCCAGCTATACGTCCATCCAGAGCGATGTGAGTTATGGCATCAGTGGTGAATACCAAAAGGTGTGAGGCATCTGGACGCCAGCCAATCCTGTCCTAATGAGGATGAACACAGAAATAAATATAACAAGTGTAAGAAAGACTGACAGTTTTGCACATCAGCGAGCGAGTGTATGCGATTACATTTTCATACCTTGCACACCACAGCCTGCATGACAGCATCAAAACCACCCTCTGGAGCATCTCTATTTCTAGACACCTCCTGTTTCACCACTTCCTCAGTGAAGCGAGCCACCTTCTCCGTCAGTGACAGCACATGCTTGAACCCGAATTGAGCCTGGCATGTATCATGAATTCTGTATGCATTGAATAGGTGAATGGGGGATAGAAAATCAGTGGAGGAGAACTGGACAGACTTTCTCAGAATATTAGAAAATCTCCCCCTTCAGCTCCTTTTCCTCCTTAAACGTAACACCAACAATAACCTCCACACCTACCCATTGCAAGGGTTTTCCACTGCCTCTGGAGGATAGGTGTACATGTAAGGGGAGGCGGTTTTGTCCACAAAGGCTCCAAACCCCATGCGTAGGTTGCTTGTGGTGCGGCCCATGGTCATGGCAAGCTCATTGCCCAAGGTGCGAAGGCTAGCCAAGTCATCCTTCATTGAAAATGAAAGATCCATCAGATAGTAGAGGTCCACTGGGTAATCCTCCACCTGTTTCACTGACACGGTGAAACGCTTGGAATCTCCTGAGAGGGAAAGAGCGGAGGGCCGCAGAGATTGAGCAGTGAATGGTAGATTTAATGAGATCAATTGTGTGTCCAAATCTTTTTTTGACTTTCAAGTGAAACAGATTCAATATTAGATAATAATAACATATAGTGACGTTGAAGACGTACAACCAACTTTGGTGTATCAGGCTGCTAGTGCATGCACAACAATAATAATGGTCCTTGGTGTCTGGTCTCCAATAAGTATATCTGGTCTTGTAGATTTGTTAGCATCTGGTCTTATAGGTGATGTCTGGTTGGATGTTTAAGTACCTGGTCTTAGTGCAATACGGATTTTCTGAGGCCTTATCTGAGTGATATCATCAGCTGTGCCCGAGGCCTTGCTGCTGAGCGGTGCATCCTTGTCTATATCCAGAATGCTGGATGGAAACTCCACAGCTGCCGGATCGCACCCTCCAACCAGTAGATTCTCCTTCAGGTCACAGCGGGATACACCTGATCCCCCGTTCCCATACTCCTGAATAAAGAACCATTGCATTACAACACCAGCCGATGACAACAAGAGGTATGCTGTTGGGAAATTAGGTTTCTGTTCCAACTTGCTGCACTGAGCAATGAACGGGAGAAGCAATTAGACACTGTGGTGTATGTGCATATGAACCAGGTGTTTTTACCTCCTGATAGCACCACGCACATCCAGGGTCTACAGCCAAGCACTGTCGACAAGTGGTGACCCCTTGTGACGTGCAGATGTTGGAACCTTTGATAATCACACCAACAGAAATGCAACACAAAATCAGTGGTGGAAGAAGTACTCAGATCTTTTACTAAAGTAAAAGTAGCAATACACACTCTGAGCCTAACATAAATACATAGATACATAAATATATATTATACACCCAAACATGACTAAATGAAAGACATCAGATAGCCTGATGTGTATATTGTTGCAGCTGGTAAAGGTCGGGCTTTTTTATTAAATCGGCTATACTGTCGGGTAACTTGTGAATTCGACCAAGTTACCTCAATCCATAATAATAAATCATAATTTATTTTTTTTCAATTGTTGAACTGAATCTGCTAATCTTATCTACTTGTAAATAAATGTATGAAGTGAATGTAGTGGAGTAAAAAGTACAATAATTCCCTCTGAAATGTAGTTGAGTTAAGCAGAAAATAGCAGAAAAGTAAAAAAAACTTGCTCATAACTTAAATATATCCCATCATTGAGAAAAAAACCCATTTCATTTCAACTTGTTGTTGAAGCAAAGTGACATATCTAGATAGCACTGTTGACCACTTTTTTTTTTTTTTTTTTTTTTTTTTTTTAAATAAACGGAAATACCATGCAGCTCTGTTCAACCACAAACTTCAGATACCACAACTATCACATGCAGTCTCAAGAGTAGCCTACTGTGCAAAACATGTGTGCAGTTTACCCATAACATTAATGATGCTCATTATGTTTTCTGAGAGTCATTTGAACGTGCTAGCAAATTGCACCAAATGTTTTATTCTAAGAAAGTAAACAGATAATTCCAAATGCTTTACTATTTGTTATCTAGATTGGCCTATGGGTGTGGCCCACTGGAGTTAAACAGAGTCAGTCAGTCACCAATATGTATCTCCCTGTGTGTAGTGTTAAATTTGAGATCTGACAGAATATAGGCTATAAGAAGAAAAAAAACAACTTAATTTGGCTTTTGAATAACTGAATTTATATTAACTCCGAAATGAACTGGCATAGTCAAGGGCCCCTGAAGTAGCCTAAATACCCACTGAATAAGCACCACACAGTATGGTTTTTCAGCTACAGTATTTGAGCTATTCAAAATAATTATGATGATGTAGACTTTATAGAAAGGTCTCTCATAGTGTTTTATTCTAGTTAGTTAGTTTTTGAGTTAATTGAGGGAAAATAAAAACAAAAAGCACCCACGCACATATATATATATATAATGCACATATTCCCTATTCTATTCTGAATGAAATCATGACATTTTAGACTTGATCTTTGCTGAGGAGACCCGGTGAGCCTGGTCGCTTTGGGAAACCCATCCCGACTATTTTCACTCCCTTATAAGGAAAGGTGGCGAAAGCTCCAACGGAGGAGCGCAATTACAACCAACGTGGGGCTAACGCTGAATTATTCTGTGTTCCGTTTAAGAGCATTCCGCTGTATTGAATGGCCTAATCATCAGAAAATATAGCCTACTGTAAATATGAACAGTAGGTGGTACCTTCAACGATGCCCCACGAGCCGGGCGGAAACAGCAACAGTTCGCGTAAGCAGGCGAAAGTAAAAAAAAGAAAAAAGAATAGTTTAAGTGATAAAAACTTACCGAAAACGTTTGATGGCGATATCAGAAAAAGAAACAGTATCACTGGACGGTCTAAAAACGTTCCCATGGCTGGAGAGTAACGGGGCTGACTTGACGTGCGTCGTCTGTGTTCCCTGTGTGCTTGTTCACTTCGCAACTTGAACGCCTTTCCTCATTCTTGACTTTAAAAGCATGTTGGGTCATACAGCGTCGCCTCATTCACCAAAACTCTCCATCCAGTAAATATATCGGGGAACTGCGGAGATTACGACATGTTGACACTCGTTTCTTAATTGTTTTTTTAATAACCAAAAGACTACTTGACTTTTCCCACAAGTGGAGTAAAGTGACAGTATCTTCACGTTACAGACTAGTTTAACATAAACATATGATTTGTTTTCAAGGATCACCTGGACAGATTTCCCTGCTGCTCCTGAAAGCTACATATTATATGGGGGAATGGGCGGGGCGAAATAAACTTTTTTATATTGAACAAAATCACTGAATCTTAAAACATGCAGCCCAGATGTGTGTGGCAGTCCTCTATTTTGGCACTAGTTTGAAAACATTTATGTATTTAAATTATGAACAGTTTTTTTTAAATTAAATGACATCAGGGAAGTTAATCAAATTGATACTGTTGAGCACAATTACAATAAAATGATGCACATTAATTCATCAATTCATTTTATTTTTATTTATCTTTTCAAAAATGTTCACTCTTCTGTTAACAACTCCTTCCTTTTCATTATAAGATGCATTTTGGACAGAAATCACCATCAACACTAATACGCATTCATGTGTATTAATTTAGGTGTGAACCTACTCACAACCCAAATGATATTAATCCTCATTGTATTTTCTGGATAGTACTTTGACCATGTTAGCAAACTGCAGCAAATGTTCAAATAAAAATAATTCCAAACCCTTTTCTATTTGTCATCTAGCATAGGCTAAGGGTGTAGCTCACTATAACACACTTTCAGTGTGTAGTATGGAACTGGACGTGTAGAAGTAGACTGAATATTAAACTTGATTTGATTTGGCAGTGGTATAAATACTGAAGACAAGCAGCATTTTGGACACTTGTATAAAATGTACATGATGTGTTTGTCAAGACACGGTGATTTGTTGCTTTGTATGTTATAACATCAATATGAAGTATGAAAGTGCTCCTCTCCCAATATTAAAACACTATTTCACAATGAAGATATATAGTTATATACATCCTTTTTAAATATAAAATGCTTCGCAAATTGCTCTGCCCTCTACTGGATTGAAAAGCATACATCAGTAGACCTGTAAACTGCACAACATGTGTGTAATGCTGGCCTAAGGGCAAACTAGAAACCTGCCATGAAACCCTGCATTTACAGCTCAAAATGAATGAATCACCACAAGTTGAAGCAACACTTAGTTGTGTAGTTGTGGTAGATGGACCCCTGGTGGTAAAAATAATGTATGACAAGGTTATATATAGTACTAGAGTTCATAAAGGATTGTGATCAGCAGTGCTTTCTTAATTAATTTAGGGTCCAAAAGGAACTGACTTAGCCCCAAGCTATAGGCATTCCCTAGAACCAGTCTAGCCAAGCTCACTGTCCTCACCAAATTAATGAATCTGATAAGAGCCCGCCACAAATACCATCTCCCCATTCCACTGAATGATGGAGCATGACGAAATTTGCTAGCTTCTAAAACAAGAAAGAAATGGCAGTAGAAAATGGGATCAAAGCTATGATTACTCTACAGAAATTAACTTTGGGAAGTGTGTGGTGGGGGCTTGCAGAAGCAGACAATGCTTCTTATCTCTGCTCTTGTCCATTTATTGAATCTTTATCTCTGTGCCCTGCTCTTATTCTCCAGCTTGTTGCTAAGTTACTGCCACCCGTATCCAAGAATTGCCGTGAGAAGAAATGACAAAAATAGAGAAATAAGTAGAAAAGCTATAATAGTCATCTTTTCTGCTGGCATTCTGTTCTCCGTGTGGGTGGATGGTGCAGGTAATACACAGGAGGCAATCAAACCCCCTTCTCCAGTATTGACTGATTTGGATCTATTGGCTCCAGGGCCTTCTGTGGCGATCACCCCCACAGATGAATGGCATTTTGGGAAGAGCATAGCGCCAGTCGTCCTGAGTAAAAAGCCAGACTGGGTCAGACGGCAGTCAATTAAGGCTGAACAAGAAGCGAGGATGGGGGCTGGAGGAGGAAAGGGGGATGGAAGGGTCCTGACCTGTGTTACAGATCTATCTGGAGCCCTTTAAGCTTTTCACTGAGTCTGAGAACGCCGTCACAGAGAGCCAATATCAAAGCACAATTGCTCTCAGACAAAATCAGTGTTTGGATATCACAACAGGCAAACTCTTTCCTGCTACGATGGGTTTAACTGGCGGGTGGGAGGGTCAAGTGGGGGAATGTGAGTTTTTCTCAGGTGAAGGGTTGGCAGGCTTATGAAATGTGCCCCTGAGTCGCTGACGTGGGACAATATGTATTTGTGTGGTGATACTTATCTGATCTGCCATCCCCTCCTCCAGCTCCACTAGGATTTGCAGCTTACATTTCTCTCTCAGGGGATGGCAGCATATATATGTGGAGAAAGAAGGAATAAACAAAATAATACAAATAAATAGCTGGGGATACACGAGGGATGGAGGAAAGGAAAGAGCCCACATTCCCACATTCTCCAGATGAATTTGGTTTCTTCTGTGCTTGTGACTGGTGGAGAAAAAAAGAAAAGAAAGGAAAGAGTGCATTTCTGTTGTGTGTTTTAAGTGCATCCAGACTTCAGAACTGTGGGAAGTCTAATGTAACCTACTGCTGGATGTAAGTGAGGCAGCTGGACAGAAACAAGTTGAAGGAGCAAAGACGACAGAATGAAAGGACAGAAAAGAAAAGGCAGATCATGGTAGCCTGCATTACTGAGATGTGTCTAAATGGAAATGAGGTTAATGGGTAGCGGCTGGTGGAGTGCATGAGATGTCTCCACTGGAGATGAAGAGAGGGAATTTCTTCAATTAGATTCATGAAATCTGTAATCTGTTTCTCAAAGAAACAGATTTTCACCAGCCATTCAAATAGACAGGCTGCAATATGTGCACAAGGAACGCGCGCGCACGCACGCACGCACACAGTAATAGCCCCCCTGCATCATATCAAAGCAATGAAGTCATTATCTCCTGAAAATACCTTTAATGACCGATGGTTGCTTCGTGTGGGGTTGTTGTGGGGCACCACTCTGCTGCACTGCATCAGCATGTAAACAATGACTGCATTTACTTCTGCGTGATTAAGAGTCCCAAAGGTGACAAGCCGCTCAAGATCAAAACACAGCCTCTCGCACTTTCCCTGCATCTTGTGATACTTGGTCTATCCATATTTAATGTCCAACACACTTTGTTAATATACCTTTGACCTTTGTGTTTCCTGGCATATACTTAAGCACACCCTCCCTCTCCAGCACACACGGGGACAAGGCGGCTTCCTCGCAGTCCTGTGGGCTTTGATCAGCTAATAAGGGGCATCTCGGGGAATCTGTAAATTGAACAGAGGGAAGTTGTGAGGAAAGTCTGCTCCCTTCGCGATGGAGGGGCTTGACCATTTTGAGTCCTGAGTCCTATCAACCTTGTGGCAGCCTCACAAACATAAGGAATGTAGGTATAAAGACCAGAGGGGAGGTGGGTGTGGTCAAACACCACCTCCTTGTTGCTAGGGATGTCTTCACTTAGTTTGTGTTGCTAGGCTGCCAATTCCCTCATGTTAAGTGGAAATGTCTCCCCCCACATCTCCTCCGTCCAGGCACCTCATCGCTCCCTCCCTCTCTTTCTCCTCTAAACCAAAATAACTTCACCAACCATCTGTCACTGGGCTCACAGGTCTACTGTTGCTTAGGAACAAGTCAGACACTCTCATTAAAGACTATGTGCATCCTCATATAAATATACAGTATCGTCATATACAGTTATACCAACAACAAATCTCTGCCTGTGACCGGTATATCAATGAAATGAGTCGCGTTCACAGCAAATCTCATGTGAAGTTATCCATCACCCACAGGGTCTTCAGTATATGAAGCTTTTACAGGGCAAAACTAAGACATTCAAGAAAGACATCAACATTTTTCAAATGATTTTAGTAATTAGTTCAAAGGAGCAGCATGTTCATAGAAGTGTCCTCCTCCTTGACTTTGCAGCCACTTTCTCCCCATTTGTATAATTCTTTGAAGTTTTTTAGTTTAAAGCCTCAAAGAGGCATTGTTGGGTTTTAACTGCAGCAGAGGTTTTACATATTGACAGAGAGATGAAGTGTAAGTACAAGCTACTTACCATAATCACACTGCAATTAATAATAGAACAGAATCAAATTGTGCAGCATTGATTTACATGCTGCCAATTAATTTGCAGCAACCAAATCCTAAGGCTAATGAGATTATTTGATCTTATTGTACTCAAAAAATACTCGCTGTTCTTCTGTTTTCAGCCTTTAATAAATGATCTGAAAGTAAACCACCTCGAGGCTTATGAAAGGTATTTGTGTAAGGAGATAATCATTGTTTGTACACAAGCTTTTCAGTTGGTGGCTAAAAACTGCTTACCCAGACATCAGGAGGATTTAGACAAACAGCAGATTAATTTGACAGGCTCTGTGGACAAGTTTAAAATGTTTGAGGCAATTGTTTTTGTTAACCTGTTGAAGTTCATCAGTGCAGGTGTTCAATCTCACATCACAAGGGAGGTATTATGGTAGAATAGGAAAATACACTTTCTCTTCGGTATCCAGTTTAGGGGAGTTAGCCATAATCCTTTGCCAATGTAATTAGATAATGAATATTAAATTGGGGCCAACAGTTTCTAACTTGGTTAAATTCACACATTTCATTGATTTGAGGGCCCTTTCCTCCTTAAAGTAGTAACATGTCCATACAAATCTTTGAAATTTATGAATTTATGAAATGGCCTCTTCAGGTAACTTAGTGGGCAAGTATCCATCCATCCAGTAACAATCTGTGTTGACATCTAGATATCTTACAGTCATCAGAAAAAAGGGAGAATCTTGCAAACATGTCAGAACTTTCAAACGATTTTCATGTGATGGATGAAAATCGATTAAATATTTATAAGTAATCTAATAATAAAATCACTGGAGTTATTTTAAATTACAGGTACGACTTTGTGACTAATTTAGCGCTGATCTAAATAGAGAGAACTATTTATTGTTTTATATATATATACTATACTCATTACCAATATCAAAAGGTAATTCAAAGGTAAATACCACAATACGGCATGCTAAGTATTAACACATTTTTTTCCACAAATGAAGTCTGTCAATACAGTACAGATCTCATAAAATTAAAACATACATTTTGCATGTAGAAGGTCAGCAATGAGGGAGAATATTATTATTATTGTAATAAGAATCAATAAAGATTTTTCACTTATTTCCTCATATGGTTTATATGAAGAGAAACATGCTTGCCAAAGGTTCATAGGGGTTTCACTGCCACCTTAGTAAGCTGATGTCCCAGAGAGCTGCAATAGTTACACACAACAAAAGGCAAAGTTATATTTGAATAATACATCCAATAAAGGCTGTCTGTTGTTCAGGGGTTTCATTACAGCTGCTGCCTTAAAGGAAATAGCAAGAGCAGTGAAAGCAGGGGAGCCAATATTTCAGATAAATATTTGCCATGGTTCAATTATTAATTCATGTCTTCATTTCGAAGTTATAGCTCGCTGTTCCTATATTGGTCTCTGTCTGGGCAGTTCCCTCATCAGAAAGCATTACACTCTATAAATACCTCTCAACATATCTGCAATAGCAGGATTGTCAATCTGCAACTCATTATGATTCTAATTGAACTGAATGCTTTCAGGTTTTAAATGACATTCCAACACTTTCATGAGAAGCCTTCAAAGTGAATGCATGACTGAATCAATATGGGTGAGGCTTTCAGGCGTTATTGATGTGCATAAATGAGTGCTGCGTTGTGTTTCAGAAAGGACCTGTACAAATATCCAGGTTCAAAAGTCATTTAGCGAAACTCATTCTTTAAAAACGTTTTTTTTCTTGAATTAAGAGACCAACAGGAAGTGCCACTTGTTCGAAATACCTTCAGTTAGATGATCTTTTTTTAATGGGTAAAATGTGCATTATTTTGATTCCAGTAGCAGTTTCACAATGAAATAAGAGAGAAGTGTCAGATTAAGATTTGTTCAAATTATGTTTCTTTACTTAACTTTCTTCAACAGAGGAGTCATAATCTGATACGTTGTGACTACCTCCCCTGGTGAGGAGTGGTGGTGTGGTCCACGGGGATCTCATCATCACTTTAAAACGCACCAGAGACTTGGCACAAAAGAAGCTCTCGCAGGCGAACACAGACGCAAAGGGACCGTCTCTTATTTCAACGGAGGAAACACGTTTTGCACCTTGCGCGCTGTCTAAGAAGACTCACTTAAAGTCAGAAAAACGTAGACTTTAAGTTGAAGAAACTTACTTTATGCTGCACCTGATGCGACGCTGTTTGTTTACAGCAATAGTACGGTGATGTGGATGTTGTCATTACGCACCAAGGCTGTGGCAAAACGCGATGTTTGCCTGTAGAGCTGGACTAAGGCGTATTTTTTTTGGGGGGGGTTCTTACTCATATTTTTTACATAACGCAAAGTTTTACTTGGAGTCCAGGTTTTAATGTGAGACTGTGTGCCAGAGGAATCGCGTGTATATTTGCTGATAACCCTCAAGGAAACATGAACGTGTCCTTCTTCAATGTGACCCAGGGCGCGCTGTTTAACGGGAGTCAGACTCTCGTTGGGACTCTGGCGACATACTCCAGCAATGGCACCGACAACGTGGTGACCGGTGACGGTGGAGGATCTCTGGTGCTGGTGCAAGACGAGCGCAAACTCTTTGTCATGCGTGTGGTTCAAATTGCGGTGCTGTGCGTGTTGTCGCTCACCGTGGTGTTCGGTATTTTTTTCCTAGGATGCAACCTGATGATCAAATCGGAGAGCATGATTAACTTCCTGGTGAAGGACCGGAGACCCTCCAAAGACGTGGAGACGGTCATGATCGGGCTCAGCTAGACCATGGAGAGTTGGTACTGTGGACAACTGGAGCGGAGATCCGGTATCTGGTGCAAGATCTGCATGTACTGCTCAAAGACGCTCTGTCTGTGTCCTAGGAAGGAAAGATATGCAAAGATGTCTCACGTCCTTCTGATAAAACGACTACAGGAGCCAGCGACCAATGTATGCGTAAAGTTTGTGCGTAAAACACGGGGAATTGTTTACATGTGGGCCTGTTGAATCTTTTGAGTGAATATAATTTTACCAACTTGAACAAAGTGACGAAAATGTTTACAAGTTACCTCATTTTTTTTTTAAGTTTGTTTTTCTTTTCTCCTTTTTTGTAAATTTGAAATGATTGTAACTGAATGTTTTTAAAAACTGTTCAACCGCATGATTGTGAATTCTTATAATTCCACGTCTGCCAGTGTAATATGTGGACGTGATGAACATATAAGTATTCTTTATACAAATATTTTTCTTGGTCTCGTTTGGTAAATACACTCTGAATATTGAAATCTTGCACGTTCAACGAACTCGGTCTCCGTTTATGTGAGAGGTTCTGGTCCTGTTTGGCATGCTCGCTAATTGATCTGTAAAGTGATTTCTGGACCCGTTTTGCACTTTTGAAATCACTGATGCTGCATGAATTATTTTGTACCCAAAAAAAGAAATATAAACTTGAAATTGCAGCATGCAATTAAAATACTGAAATGACCATGAAGTGTTGTCATCTGTTGATTAACATGATACAGAACATGCTAACACTGAAATAATATTTGTGTTTTTCTTCCAATACTGTGTCTCCTCTCTCAACTTAGAACTGAATTTGTACTATACCAATCTCTAGAGAAACATTAATTACTGTTTGATTTTAAACTCAAATCAAATCCGACTTGTGAAATCGTGTGATCTTTAATTACACGATGAAAGCATTAAGTCAACACACGATGCATGCACTTTTAAATTCAAAAGTTACACAGAAAAGGATATTTTACATAGTTCTCATTTAAAATGAAGACAAACTATCTGATGGAACAATCACACTTAACACTTAGGCACTCAGTAAAAGCGTGGCATTTATTGCAGCTTTATATATAGGTGATGAGAGGCCAGGCTGAGTTATCCATCTTGTAGACAACAAGCCGAGCTTATATTGGCTTCACAGCATTTAATCTGATCTCTCTGATGAGTGACTATAACTGCAATCAAGGAGCACGCAGGCTCACCCGGACCACTTAAATTCCGGGCAGCCCCCAATGCACCTTAAGAGTTTAAGTATGGCATCCAGAGCTCATGTTCTTCTTCTTTTGTGACATCACAATGTGTGTAGAGGAGAGCATGAATGTGACTAAGCGCACAGTGAGAGAACCTATATGCAGCTTCAGAAGGATTTCACACAAAGAGGACATAAAAGGGACATCTATGAACTTTCCATTTGCTTTAATTACTCTTCCTGTCCCTTATCAGTACATTGCACACACTCTTTTCCTTTCTCAAGAAAAACACTTCACCATTTCTATTTCAGACCAGCAGAAAACCCACAGAAAGTATCATTCGGGTGTCATATTAGGTTTCCATTGCAGCTCAACATTTTGGTTCAATTGTACTTCTATTTCTCAGTATTTCTATCGGCACCCCCTCCTTCTCTCTCGTGGCCCACTCAGAAGCAACCAATGTTCTCATTATTATTTCAGTACTTGTTAGGAGAGCTGGGGAAGATGAATCCTTACAAACACACCCATGCATCCACACATGTGCCTATTCACCACGCACACATTGGACACTGATGTGCAACAGACCAGCACATTCTGACCTCCACCACGAGTATCTCGGAAAAACAACATGAATAAATACAACTCATTAGATAATTAGACTTTAACAGCTGAGAACAACTTTACACTCTAGTTCACACACAACTATTATTATGCATGCATACAAAGACTACTGTGCACTTAAACATGTTGACATGGTAACTAGTACAACCCATGTGTGAAGTGGATTATTATTGCTTTTAAGTTTTCGAAGCACGGCAGAGAGCAATTAATATACAAGCATAAATGATTATTCATGCTTACAAAAACGTTTAAAGTCTGAATATCATATTGTCTTTTGAAGCGGAAATGATGAACATTTATAGAAACAGTTTGTGATTTCACTCAAATATAAATACCGGATTTTATACAGAGAGGCGGTCAAGTGGTCAGGCTAAATTATCTCCTGAAATAAATGCAATCATTTTGGTGAGGATTAAGACAATTCATGATGGTTCTTTGTCAACCTAAACTTTGCTTCCACAGCCTGTACCGTAATCCTCATAGAAAAAATAAACACAATTGTTATGGTATTGTTCCCATGTACCAGTGTTGTTGGGAACAAGGAAGCATGCTATTTTTGGAGAAAAGAGTTGCTCATTCAGTTATTAACTTATATGGCTTGAAATGATTGTGTACAGTAAGTCAGGCATTGCCTCAACGCAATCCCCACAGGGTGAGTAGGGGGTACAGTTAAGGGGGGGTATGAATGATTCAGAGGGCTCACTGGGCCCCTGGAACATGGCAAGGTTTATAGATGTGTATGGTTTTGCTGTTCTCAGGGGGCTCAAAAGTTTCTAGAAGCATCTGTGCCTGAAGTTAGCCTTGTTTCAGAGCTCTGAATTGGTGCACACTTCTCTGCGTTGTGCTCATTGAGGCCTGTTTCCCAGGTTGGAAAACAACTGAGTCAATCAGAGCTGGGGATGTCAGAACATCAGAATGGGAACGTCATCGTTTTGTGCCACAACCAGAATAATAGCAACAGGAAAATGCCCAGAATGATGAAAAGCACAGACAATATCAACACAGCCATAAAAGTTGTTGTAAGATGTACAAAACAAACATGACAATTGATTCTTCCGTGCAAGTCTTGTCACTTTATTATACAAACGTATTTTCTTTTGACTTGGCTGAATGTCAGTTAAATGACTCACCATCTTGCCTAAGATCCACTTAAAGTCTTGTTTTCTCACTTTGGAGGTGCCACGACTCACCCACTACCACTGAGCATATGCTAACTCTTTAGCATATGCTCAGTGGTAGTGGGTGATTCCCTCATGCTAACTCTTTAGCATGTGGCGCCATTGATGTGTCCACAATCTGTTGCGGACACATCACATGGATGGTGCTTCTCTTCACCAATGGAATGATCTGCAATAATCATGGTATATTCTTTTGAGAAGGAAGTCTTGTACTACCTATGAGCCCACACGTTGGTCTGCTTGACAAGGTTGAGATGTAGTTCATTATAATAAGTGCATGAGGAAGATATTAATAGGATAATGTTGCAGTGGCAGTGCAGGCACAACACGTTAACATGTTAACCCTTCACCCCAATCAACATGTGTGCAGTTGTGCAGGTATGGTGCGTTTCAAGCTCTCTCTCTCTCTCTCTCTCTCTCTCTCCATAGGCTACTCTACATTTGCGTGTCAGGAAGCGTCACCACTGACCTTTTACAATAGAGACCTCACAGAAAATAATGAACCGTGCACTGGCCATGAAATCATGACAGATATAATGGCATACACAGTTACCTGTAATAAAGATAGCTTTTCTAAGAAGTGTGGTTTTGACTAAAATAATATATCATTGTGAAGGTCTCTTATTGTGCTTTGCGTTTCGGCGTAGGCGACACGATGTGTGAAAGCCATTTTTAATTCCCTCAGTGTTTTTGATTCGAGGCCGACATACACAAACGATCTCAATGCCGACATATATCGCACAAGGATGAAATGGCCTTTCTCAGCCCCATTCAATTGGTTTCTATTGGGATGTGTTGTATTCAAAGGAGGATGCAATAACAATACAGTTGAAGCTGAGAAATGAACTCGGTATCTCACACAGGTGAGTGGATGTAAACACTCTTTTCTCTCTCTCCCTTTGGTCCATGCACGCACGCTAGACTGTGGTTTGACTTGACAATCATTTCAAAAGGTGTCACCAACACCCCTATCCACATTCAAATTATCGTATATAATCTGCATTCATTTTACTTGAACACAGCCTTTTACGAGCTGCTTCACACATTGCCACTAAAACATAATTAAATTAATTGTTTTCCTAAAGCAATTCTGTTCATTTTCATAGTTGTGGTGAGACCCCTCACTGGCTTGAGCACTAAAACACTAAAAGTGCTGTAAACACACAGGGGTCCATGTACAAATGCACACACATACAGATAAACGTAGACACACCTTTCCTTCACATTACTCCAGGCAAATTGTGCCGCAACCAATTCAGCTGGGAACCAACAGTGCTTGCCTTCAAACTCATGAGACTTCAAATAAATCCATTAAGTGCAGGCAAATGAAAAACAAACAACAAAATTGCCTCATTCCTTCCATTACCCACAACACTATGAAGTTGGCGATTACTGTCACAGCTCTGCCCTTTCTCTCCTTTCTCTTTATTTCTCACTCACCTCACTCACTTATGAGCTCATTCAGTGCACCTGTCAGCCTCCCTCATCATCAGCCTAACTCCCTTCACCTGCCTCTGTTCACTAATCAAGCACTCCCTCCTCATCAGCACAACTCCCCTCACCTGCCTCTATCCAGCCACTATATAAACCCCTGCCTCTCAGTCACTCCTTGCCAGATCATTGCCATGTCTACCCGCCCGTTTGGCTCGTCCTGTTCCCCAGTCTGCCTGCCCTGTCTTCTCCTGCCGGATTGTCCCTCTCGTCTCTTGTCTCGTCCTTGGATTCCCTGTTGTGTTCCGGTTAAGATTCCTGTTTTGTTCATATCTCATTAAAACCCGTTTCTCACTGCATCTGACTATGTCTGCTTTTGAGTCCTCCACCACACCCTGTGACATACACAAATAAACATGTAATTAATGCATTTCAAACCATCTACAAAATGATACACCTACATCATTTCACACACACACAAAGGTGTTGCTATGCTGCACATATTCTCAGTGGGAATGTGAGCATCATTTGCCGATGTGACTGTTGTTGATGTCATAGTAAGACTCTGCTGTCAGCTATAACCCCAAGGCATTCTTCAGTATTTCGGTGATGTCACGTGTCACTGCTTTAACTACCTGGACCTAAACCAGTGTGTGGGTGTGAGTGTTTTCACTCCAGCATTTCTGTCCCTTCCTCTAATCTTACCTTTTATCTGTATGCACTCTCAAAAATGTGTTCCTGAGACTACAAACCAGTACTGCTCTTGAATTCATACAAACGTGATGTTTAGTGTAATAATGGATGGAATTAGAAGATAAAGAACAAGATGGGGCCAACAGGGCTAGTTTAGAAATAGTTCAGTGGAAATGTTACTCTGGGACATAAAAGGGAAATAAATTTGCTCGAACTATCTCCACAGCACTGTGTCAGCGCTGGAGAATGGTCTGGCTGCACCCATTATCATTCTGCTATAAGGGAAAAATATGGAATGCCATTTTATTCAATAAATATTTAAATAACCCTATGAAATAAATCCTGGAATAAATAAGCGAGGCAATATATATTTAAAAATATGTAAATGTATATAAATGAGTCAATATAGTTAAATGAATAGGTTTTTATTCGAAAAACGTTTTTCAAAGAACTTTTTTTTTTCAGGCCTCTAATTTCCATCTGTTATATTCAAATGAATGGGGTGTTATCTTACAGATTTCGACTGTCAGTGTTTTTTGTCAGTGACTACTTCAATGCTATTTGAAAG